TGACATTTAAGAAGAAGATGATGATCGTTATGATGGCAGCGCAGATGGAGATGTAAGCCAGCCGACAAACAGTTGCAACCGGTGACGCATATGTGAACTGATATGAGTCTTCAGATGAAAGCGAAGATGAACGAGACCGAAAGCCTGAGCAGGCGATCGGTAATAGTCATCCTATTCATTTTCAACAGAGCGACCTTCCCTTTCCTACCCCTGATTTTCGAAACGTTATGTTGACACGGTTGAATAAAATTTTATTCCTTCGAATGTTTATCGCTGTTACCATCATCGTTTCCGTGGCGCTCGCGCTAAAATTGTCAATTGATCGGACGAACAAGCCGATTCTATATATATATATATATATATATATATATATATATATATATATATATATATATATATATAGGGCGGCAACAATAGGAAAGACAGATATGATTGCAGTAGAAAGCTGTGGAGTGGATACAACAATGGAACAGCATGAAGAGTTGAGGAAAAGGGATTTTCGTAAAAAAAGGTGAAGTGGAAAAAGAGACGACACAGGCTGCCAGCGGAGGAAATGAGGGAGCAGAGGTTATTTCGAGGGGTCCATAGCAGGAGATTCGATGGAGTTGCCTGAGACGAAAAGCGCATTGCACCCATTTCTCCAACGTTTCTGAAGGCTCAGCCCGGCCACTCGATGGCCCAAACGACGTCGGAGTTGAATAATGGTGGGACTGCAAAGAGGCTTTAATAGCGAGGGATAGATTACAAAGTCTAGGTGGGTGAAGAAATATGAACCTTTGTTAGAGTTGAAGTAAACGACCGAGATGGGAGTCCACCGGTGGAAAATGAGACGACGACGACGATGGCAATGATGATGATGATGAGAAGGGTGAAGTACGATGGCTGACGACCTTTAGCGGAAGCGTAAAAATGGCATAGGTTAATAATCGATAGCTAGACTAGTGCTCGCCGTCTAACGAAATCTGTCGTATAAGTGAAGACCGGTGCCGAAGAACTATCCAGAGCTAGATATATATTCTCATAGTAAGTGCATGTAGTAGTATACTTTTCTTGAAAAGTTTAGTATCTTCGGAGAGCAATTGAAATTATCCAATGGTACTGACAGTGCAGTATTATATACTGCTCGTTCCTTTAACTACGTATAATTACGACGTAATCGTAACTCTAGCCGTAAAAGTCGTAATATCAATAGTATTATCTATGTTTTTTTTTGTTATTACTTCTATCATCATTGTGTTCTCGAACAATATGCCAAGATTATGTTAACATATTCCGAAGGAGCTAACTGTCACATCTCCTATTGTATTTATATAATCACTGCAATAGTCGGTCCGTTTGAAGTGATCGTCTTTGATCAGTGGATCAGCGATAGTTGGTCGTTCGGCGGACGCCGAAATAGTACATAGCCTTGGAAAATCGTGCATCTTTTGATTGGCGTTTGTATTTTGTACATTTATATGAATGTAAAAAGCGTCCGTCTGTGTTCGAGGGCCGGCTTCACAAATCTACCAGAAACCAAATCCGTTGTAGATTAGCAGTGCAATCACCAGCTCGATGTCGTGCAACGAGAACACGTAAAATAATAGTAGTTAAAGTAGGCTTTTTATTGAGCCACGCCGATACCCAGAATTTCGAACAATTGCCGCTTGATTCATCCGAGCTGAGTAATAAAAATCGTCGTGAGAAAGAGATTGATCCGCAGCTTGTAGATGGCAGCAGGAGTTATGATAAAGTTCCAGCCGTTAACACTGGTCACTCGATGAAGAGAACATCTCAGAGGGGCTTAATAAAGTTGATCTTACTCGTCAATTGTGCCTTTACCTTAACAAGCTTCACCAATTCAATCAACTGAAGGAAGTAAAAGCAGAACTAACTTGTTCCGAGCTAAAGTCAGCGACAGGTAAATTGGTCGGAAAGAAATTCTAATGAAGGCCGTAGGCGTAAGATCGTTGTGTATAGATATTGGTCGTAATCTGCAAAAGTGAAAGTGAAACACGCATTCATTCCTTCCTTTGTTCCTCATTAAAAGGAAATTATTATCGTTGTGTTTTGCCAGCGCCCTTTTTTGCCCTGGCTTCCGTCCTTTCGACTCTGTTGCACATCGAACATTCACGTATCGGACGTCCTTTGTCATGACATATACGTAATTAGATATTTATTATGTAAAAATTGACAACAAGAGGAGAAGGAGGCGATTGATGGAAGGGACGTTTATCAGATAAGTTGACGGCGCCTGATCATCGCTTACCGCCCCGCTGCTCGTCGTCAACGGTTGCTCTATTTTAACGCGGTGATTATGCTTCTCTGTCGAATTATTCTGTCTCGTTCGTTCAGCCGACGGCAAGCAGAATGGCCGCCATCGCTGGACTTCGATGGCTGCGGTTTTTGTCTGTCTAGTGGTGTACCTGAACAGATGGATTAGGCAAAAACACATAGTCAGACGGACAGACTTACAGATAGATGAGGATGCGTATGTCGGCCCGTGTGTCCGTCCGCGTCCCGACGTTCGGTGCTTGGCCGCCGCCGCCGCCGGCATTTGCCCGTCCACGCTGGCCCTGCAAGCCAGCAACAACGACTATCTGCCGCTTATAAACTACAATCTATCCCACGATCCATCGCGTTGCCTTTTTGACTTGGTACGAGCGCAATCATGCGCCGTCATTGCCCGTCTGTGCGTCTAAGGACAATATGTTGCGGTTGTAATATCCGTCATCTCAGTATTGTTGTGACGCTAGTTCCAGCGCTGGTAGTTGCTCGCCAAAGTGCCACCGACACAGCCTTCTATTTGCTGGCGGTATTCCTGCGTGTTTTCGTCGTCGCCGTTGATCGAGCAGTCTGCGAGTAGTCTTTTTCCCTGAGTTCTTTCTGCGAAAGAAACAGCAATAACAGGCGAAGTAACGACGTCCACCGTCGCAGTAGCGGTCGCTGCCGCCCCTGTCATCGACTGCGCCTGGCACACGGCCAACTCCTGCTTTGGCAAGGCGTCTTTACCAAAGCCGTCGCTGTCGTCGTATTCGACGTCCGCTTCTGCTGCCAGCACTGCTACTGCTTAGCCATGGCTGTTCTGCGCTGAGCCTGCTGCCGTCCATATCAATTCTGTACTGTTCAGTGACTCAATGGCGTCTACCCATTGGTCGGCGCGTCGCTCATTCAGCCGCTTAGTCGTTCTATCGCCTACTTCGCTGTTGCGACTGTCGCTGCGGGCGAGGGAGCTTCTTCTAACATCTCTTCGTGCAATCGCTGCCGCCGCCGCCGCTCTTTCTCATGTTCATTGCATTCTATGCGACGGCGGCGTCATTGTCGGTGACAACACCAGCGCGCTACGGACAGAGGAACAGAGATGAGGTGCAGTGACGCAGCAGACACAGCAGAAAGAGAGCCAATTGTGGCTGCACGTGTGGTTGCCGTTGCCGTTGCTGCTGCTGCTGCTGCTGCTGCTGTTGTTGTTGTTTTTGTTTTTGTTGTTATCGTTATTGTCGTCGTCGTCGTCGTCGTCGTCGTCGTCGCCGTCGTCGTCGTCGTCGTCGTCGCCGGTGCTCCAACTGGAACTGTGAGTGCTCGCTCGTAAAGTTGATAATAGCAGCCTGCCCTCGCTATTTTCATCCGACTTCACTACTTACCCTGCCGTAAATAAGTTCAGCGTCAATAACGTAATGGGTATTACTAGTTAACGCTAAAATATGGTAAGGTTTCTTTTAATTATAACTCACGTCTCCTTATTTTATCGCATATACGTCTATAAAATAGCTGCGGTTCAACCTGGTTAGTCTGTGGTGCCCACAAGAGTTAGGATAAACCCTACACACTGCCAGTCAAGAGTGTAGCATAAGGCAAATGCCTTTTATCTGAAAGGAATCAATTTAACCGAACAAAATGTCGTAACCGCCTGCAACAATCAGGAAGTCATCATAGTTTAAAGCAGAAGCAGAACGAACACAAAGTTGTCGTGTAACTACGAAACAGGATTGTCAGTCGGATCTTTAACAAATATGAGTTTCTTCACCAATTAGGGTACCGGCGCCTAACAATTAATTATTCTCTTCAAAATTCAAAAGAAAAAAAAAGAAAAAATTCACAAAACTAATTATCGTAAGGCCAAACAATGGATTTACTTTATAGATATATCCGAGCGTTTATCTCATCATAAAATCCCAACTTTTCCGTAGAAATGTCCCAATTATGCGTTCAAACACTTTGCCATGCGATTCATGCCATTAGAATTCATTGCTACATTCTAGCAGTCACCTTTGGTAGGAACGCACTTTCCAATCTATAAGTTGAATTAAGTTACCAATCAAGTATCTAAATATTTGAGATCCACATTATATCCAGTCCCGTATCAACTCTACATTGTAGATAGAGTAGAGTAGTACTTCTAAAACCTATAAACACTGTTCCCTAAACGTCTAAGTTGTCCCAAGTTATATCGTAATATGGATTGCTCGTTTATCGTATAGAGATCGACTAAGCGTGATAATGCACCGACATTGGCCAAATAATGCCACTAATAGTGCCTATATTTCTTGGGTCTTTTCTTTGGGCATTTGGGTAGATGAGTTCAGGAAGTATTCTACGTAAACCGAAGATAGATTGTATCTACGAAGCGGTTTATTGTTAGAAGTCATATGCGAATTAAGCCTGTAAGTGCGTAGTACTTTGAAGTTGGTTAGGAACTCGTCCACCTCATCACTCGCTTCTTCCGGACGCCTTGTTGCCTTTCCATACAAATAGATACAATCCTTTCAATATGCTAAAAAACATGGAACACCGTATATAGTAGAATAAACGCGACAGGAACAACGAGCCGTTGACGCGCTGTGCTGTTATGTCACGAACGTTAACGCAATGCTAGATAAACTACGAGTGATATTGCAAATACAAATGAACCATCGTTAAGTGAACAACGTCTGTCAGATCAACATCTCTAACACAACAGATCGTGCTATTGGGAAATTAGTTATTACTTCTACAATCTTCAGCAGTTGACTAACATCCCCTAGACCATATTGCAGCGTCCTCACCTTCAACACCCGTCGTGTCACCTGGGCAAAACGTCTCTCCTGCGCCAACGGTGTCCCCACTGAGTCGCGACTACGTTTCAGGGGTCACATCCCCAGAGACCTCACCCACTCCGCCCATGGCTTCGAGCCGGGGGACACCCGACTCGGAACATCCCGTAATTTATCCCTGGATGAAGAAGGCACACAGTGGACAGTCTGCGCAAGGTAATTGTTCCTTTTCATATTTACATACACACCTGCATTTATCCAGATACGTCCTGTTCTACTTGATATTCTGATGAAAACGCTTCTCACAACTGTTGAATGCACGCAGGCCGAGCTTTTGCCAAATATCGATACTATGTGACGTTGAAATTATATCAGAAGTACAATGGTAATTTGTTTTTTCAATTTGGTGATCTTGTTTCGAATTGTTTAATACGCAGATCAGATCAGATCAGATGAGTGACGGCCGTGTTACAGTAAGACTTTAATTAAATATAGGCCGAGCGTACGTACGATCATCCGCTCCGACTCATAGAACACTCATCAAGATTTTCAAAAAACATTGACAATGACGATAGATTTACGGTTCATGCCGTGTAAAACAATGAGCGCTTTTTTTCTATCACCATAGAATATCATTTCTAGAAGAATTTCATAGAACTTCTAGAAGTTTAAGCAACAATAAAAAAGTCATCCTAATAAATGACCATTGCGGCTATCCAGTTCTATCACTCGGCTAGAGAGGGTCGGTGATAGGCCAGTGGGTGGCAGGGCGTTCTTGGGGGCACGTTGTGGTTTAGATTCGAACCCGGGCATAGACAGGCACATGGTTTGTTGCGTGCTGCGAGCGAGCCAGCCGTCCGTCCCTCCATCCGTCTGATGGAACGCCTAAAGGCGATACCGGACTCGAGACTATCTTCAGAATGTGCTATGAGCAAGTAATTATCAAAGTTATAATAATGAGATCCGGCAGAGTAACCAAATGAGTATTGTTATCTGAGAAGCTGATGCCGATTCTAAGCACCTGCTCAACCAGGAATTATTGAATAACAAAACCCATATCCTAAATCAGCTGTTGTCGTCGTTGATGTCGTCCTTAAACAACATGGCTCATTGAAGGGATGCGGACTTTGCTTGACAATTTACGTGACCAAAATATACGTGCCAGGCAATTTCTGAGTATTTTCCTGTTTTTTATCGTTTACGGATTCGAACTGATTACAAGGTAATCAATTCGTCTGTCATCTTCGTCACTAGTTTGTTTTTTGGGCGACCTGGGCGTACCCACTGGAATGAGTCTGGAGCTAAATCATTGGATATATATCCGTCTTTACAATATTCCACTGATTTTTAATTAAATATTTCGTAAAGCCTACGCAGATTTACGTGCGTCACAGTTTTCGGCGCTCCGATTGTAACGGCACGATTTTCGTCCAGAATAGAGATCAAAATGTACCTGTTCAAAAAATTCTCCGCATGTTAAAGGTGTTTCGTGTATTCCAACACTGCAGTAGTTGAGGTACGGCATGTATATGTGTGTGTATGCGTAGATTTCGGTGATCAAACATCATCAACCTTTTCCTTATTACAAATGCTTACTGAAACCGTGGCTTTATTTTATTACTATCGTTGCTAAAAGCAATAACTGCTTGATTAAACAAATAATGTTAAAAATAAATTATTACTAATCGCAAGCTGATGACTGTACACGCGTCGTTCCGCTTTAATATACAAAACAAATGTAAGCGACACGACGCCGACTCAGATCAGGCGTTTTGCCAAAGGCTCGATTTGTATTAGCTATCAGTATGGCTATACTGCAATGGACGATTTCGATCCTTCGGGTCGATCAGCGTCCGCACTAACCTCCATATATACACATCACGCCTTCTCCCTCTGTTTCCATCCCCCAGCGACGTCACACTGTCAGTGTGGCATCGCTGGGGGATCACACGCCGAATTCGATAAGTGTCGTTGAAATGTAGTACATAGGGTAGACCCCCGGCCCGCCCTCGTGGACTAGGAATCAGGGGATCTACTGTCATATCGACAGGCGCACGAGACTGCAGCAAAACCTTTACAAAATACGTCCAAAATATGTCTGCAGAAGCCGGACTAGTGTACCAAAGTAGTGCCAACTTCATGCATTTTCTGTTAACTAATATAACGGTTTTGAACGAGAGCTTCCACGACGTAACTACAACTTAATGCTATTAGCTATTCCAAGTTAGAAGGTGCACGCTAGTAAGTTTAGAACGTGACGCTTGTATAATTTTTGTCGGCAAGAAATCAGCTATTTTTGGCTGGCTAACGTTGCTAAGTCAAGATAACGACATCTTTCTTGAATTGATGCCATTGATAATTACACTAATTTGAAAATGGCCGTGTACGCGGAATCGCTCGAGCGCCTTTATTCGCTACATAAACAAACGCGATCTGGGCAAAATGTATAACGCTAAATCGGTCATGACATGATTATTTATCATTAACCCATTTGAGTTCTAACAACATGTTGTCAGCTATCAGACCCAACGACAGATTTCAGACATGTTTGCATTGATACTCATATATAGTGGATATCCATTGTATAGCACAAAAATGTTTCACGACAACTGAGATTCTCATTATCAAGGTTCAAAAACAGGCTCCCATAGGAAACATAAATAGCCGCTTTGCAAGCTAATCATTCAAAGGAAACAACGCTAGTGTTCCGTTATATTATATAATAAGTGGCCAGAGGATAGAATCTATCGAATGGACTTCGTTTCACAAATCACTGAGACATCCATACTTGTGAGCAACATAAATATTCTCTCCAAGAGTGATTATAAGAAGTGAGCGTTTGAAAATAAACCTTGTATCTCATGCCTTGTGTTAGGAGGGGTATTGCATGTAACGTACGTATGCACGCATTGTCTTTGTTTTGAACATGGCTTTGTCGACTAGACATAAAACGAGGTACTCACACAGAGAACGTCTTACGCATAACGTCTACTTGTTGTTACCTTCCGTAGGATCCTTGTGTGATTTTTTTTTGCTTCACGAAAAATTGACGTCTAGAGTGCAGGGCATTTTTCTCTAAAGACTACAATAGAATAACTTTATCTGCAAGCGGTTTCTATCAAAACTTCTATAGTACTCCACGTAGCTGTAGAGAAAATTGCCCCGGCTTTGAGAGAGATTTTGCAGCTATTTAATACTACTGTTATTACTGAACTACGTTCTGAACACATATTTGGTCTACTGTGTACATAGGAAAAAAATCTATCGCCCCCTGGATGTACCAAATGCACGGAAAACATTACGGCAATGTGTGTCATCGGAAGCGTATCCGTTAACGCGTAAGCAGAATTTAAACGCTATCGTGAGAAGGCACCAACAGACAGAGTCAACGTGACAATGTTGGAGCCCGAAGTTAGTAACGATTGCATTGGTCTCGCGTTGATTAATTCTATATAATCGTACCTATTACACATTTAAACTTTAAGATACCGTTACGTTCTGTTAAAACGACAGCGATAACAGAGAGGCCGTGGTCTATTGGCGGACAGTTCATATATGGGGAAAACCATTTTTATAAAGATTGCCCTTGACCAGAAAGTGGGTTCGACGATCAAAAGTAGCTTTATATAGGCGAAATTAATGAGCGGCCCAACGTTTCTTCTCTTAGTTGGAACATATCAAACGAAGTAGAAATAAGACGGGCTACTAGTGACATCGTCTAGCCTGTTGTAGAACTAACCAATTTAACACACTGACGCAAAGCTACACGGACTTGAAACACTGATTTAACACTGCCTCTTTTTACTTCGAGCGCTGTACATCGGACAGATAGTGTCCTACGAAGACCTAAATGAGCTTTCCAAACCTAGTGGAAAGTACCGTTATGGAATATGCTACCAGAAAAAGAAACGGTTAGCCGTTCACTCAAGCGCGAATATTTTCGTACAGCTACGGTAAGAAGTTGTTCTAATTAGTACAAAATGGCGGTATTTTTATTGTTAATATTATTAAGTGTTTCATTGTAAATAATTGCACGGCCGTCGATGTTCCGCTGTATGCTAGACAATGAGGTTTCTTTTTTTCGCTTTAGCTTACAACAATGGCGGTCTCCTTCTCCTGAAAAAATGACTGATGGATTCTCCGTGTATACAACATTAATAATCGTTACTAGTCACCAGTGTCATTTGGCTGGATGATCTGATACTATGACGCAGTATACCTGAATGGTTTCAGGTCGAGATAACCTAAGGTGCTTTTCACCCTTTTAATGTCCGCATTAGATAGAACGATTGTTGTTGTTGTTATTAAAATTTTTTTTTTTTTTAATAACACTGATAATAGACTGACAAGGAACTAAAGTTTTTTAATGACGAGAGAAAACTTTTAGACTGTGCAGAATAGAACTTTTCTAGTTTCTCAGACAGGTTCAAGAGAATGAGATTGAAACGGTATAAGGTAATTTGCACGTAATACTTTCGATTCGTAGTGTAACTGAGCTATGAAGTTTATGCTAAAACATATTATCTATGAAATTCATTAAAAAATATTTTTAACAAACAGCCCATCTTTTCTGAAGCCATTGTACAAAACGGAGTTAGCTGTTATGAGTGGAGGACGTACAGGTGATTTCTCCGTCAACTTGTCCGATTAATTGTGCTTCATGCTTGTTTCATGTGCTATACATCCTTTTTGAGCAAACAAAAATATGTCCAATTCGCTTGATTAAATCAGAGCTACTACTACAGCTCAAACTGTCTGAGGTATTCTACGTTTTATTTCACTGTACCTCTATCTTTGGGTCTATTTCTCGATAACACCTATCTTCTAAGATGGTTCGCAGATTCATGCTTGGCAAACGTTAAAAACGAGCTTTTGGTATATATTTGCACTCAGGCTACTTCCTGAGGCTGTTCCCAAACCGGTTGGCTGAATATATAAATTCCATATATATATATATATAGATAAGAATTCCACAACACATATGTATGTAGCAAGTTCTGCGCGCACTCTCGGCAGTAATGTGGGCGCATGGCATCTTTGGACATCGATAGTGTATGTGTCTTCTATGACATTTTCTTTAGCGATAGCGTCTGTATATCATCGCTTGTCCGTTTCAGCCAGTCAACGGATCTCGCTAGCGCTGGCTGCGCTCATATTATCGCGTAATCGGCACACTAACTCAGTATACAGTGTACAATCATCTACATGGAACGTACATAACCTGTTATTGGACGGATTTGCCAATGCATGATGTGTGTTGATATGACATTGAAGTGAAATATCCGTTGCGGAAGGGATTTGGCTCGGCTCTGTGGGAATTGCTAGTTATACGTTTCGCATCGGTCTGCTGCATAGGCGTATACTGAACATCCATGAAAATAAGTGAAATAAACGAATCCGCTAAAGTTAAGCGTTGTTTGCGGGTCTAGCAACGTTCTTAGTGCTTCCTATGATGGTGATCGTGTTGAACAGAGTACTGTCTGCCTGCTATTCACCCAGTCAGAGCGCTTTGACGCCAGAGCATCGACATCGGCTACGACAGAGCATCGTCATTTCGTCACTACACCGCGTATCGCCTCGTTGTACGTATGTGAGCGCCTATGCTGCTGCCAGACGACAGACATAGCGCCGCCACCCCCATCGAAAGCAAGGAGGGCCGAACCAAGGCATCGTACAAATATATATATATTTATATATATATATATACGCGCTTGCTGTTGGTGGTCCAGCACCGCCAGTTCTCTTGCTAAATCTGCGACTAGTACAACCGTTGCGTTCTCCGTGGCGACTGGCCGCCGGCCGGGTACAAAGCTGAACTTGGCGAAGAGCAGCGCCGTGTCGGCCCGGCTTGGCCAGCTATCATCTGGCTATCTGGGCTTGGGGCTCTAGGTTCATCGATTGGTCGGTCTGTCTCGCGGAGTTTTTTCTGTCAGAACAGCGCCCCATTGCCGCCGACACCAGCACGCCGCTGCAGACGAAGCAAGCAAACAGGGCGGCGGCGGCGGCGGCGGCGGCGGCGGCGGCGGCAGCGGCCGAGGACGGGTCGAGGAGAAACGGAAGATGACGGCCAGTCAGCCAGCCAACCAACGGTCGGCTAAGCTTTCTCGAGAGCGGCCGCGGCGCCAGCGGCCGGTCGGTTACATATATACGCATGTATATATATCACTGTTCTCTCGCTAGCAGCGAGCGAGGCACCGCCCCACGTCGAACGCCGCTCACTTTCTTGCTCGGGCTTCTTTTACCCGTTGCTCGGTGCGTTCGTGGGCTCAGCCGAGCTATTCGGTGGGGTTTGTGCTAGTGGGCTTGAGCCCGGCTTGCCTGCTGGTACACAATCCAGCTTGTGCTGCCTCCAGCCTGTGTCTGTCGGCCTGACCCGACAATACACCTACGAAAGCCTGAAGCCTATCAAACAAAACCCAACAGAGCCGTATACACTCATCAGCAGCAAGCAAAACACGACCCGATGCTGCCAACGAACGATAGCTACTACCCTCACCCGCCTTTTTCTTCTTCTACTATCTCTCTTTCTACCTTATACCCGAAATCTGTGGGATCGCTCTGCGACCAAAAACGACCGCAGCGCCAGCGACGCGACACGGCTGAAAGCCGAAGCTACTGCTGACGAAGGTCTGATGCTAAACAGGAGCTGCGCGGCCGGCAGGCCATATCGAGCAAGAGGGCGCAGAGGACCCCGCTTGCTTTCTTGTCGCGGATCAGGGAAAGATGAAAAGTAAAACGAGAGTGAAGAGTCCATGATTTTGGACAGTTCTCGAGGGTCCGAACGGTATTGTCTACAATGATGAAGACGAAAATGGCGATTATGGTGGTGAGCAAGGAAAAAATGCCATTCGTTAGGGTAAAGGAATTTTTCTTGCGAGATTCCTCTTCACACCATCACTATCTGTGTTGGACACCAATAATATACAGAGACAAAGCGAGAGAAAAATATATCGTAGCAACAGCACTGCCCTGATACGATGTCGACGAATAAGAAAGACTGGCCTATGTTGTTGAAAACTCATTCGTTTGCCTTTTTATAATAATTGCAAACTTCAGGTTAGGCTCTGCTATCCGATAGTTCAATATAAGCATGCTATTCATTTTTCTGTGAACACGATGTTGAGTGGCAGGTTGTCAAACTGGCTTCACAATAAATAGGTACAAGATGCTTAACTAACACCAGAGGTCCCTGTGTGCTCTAAGAAAAGTTTAAATAAAGCACATTATTTAGGACTACATTAGGCTCTATTTCTAAACCTTACTATCGTTACGATCTTTGCTCATATTAATCTAGCGGATTATACAGCAAAAGGAGATTTACAAAGCCCCTTGCTATAGCCGCCTCCTGTTCTTCTTCCTTCCGGCAAGAACACGTTTATAGCTTGCTTGCGCTCAAAAAGCCACCGATTTACTTGCAACTGTGCGAACTTAATCCTTAGAAGTACTTTAATTATTTCGGTTTTTTTTACAAACCCCTTCTGTGTAGTACATTACGATTTGTGTCATTTCCACAAGCTTATGTGATGGTACTTACGCAATTCAAGTTCAGCGGTTGCGTTAAAATGATCCATGAAGGTTCCACATTCCAATTTGAGTTAACTTAAGCATGCTACGAATCTGTGTCTCTCCCACATAGTGTCAGTATTATGGAATGTTAACATCATCTGTGGGTAATGAAAACGACATTACTGCAGTGATTAAGGGATTAACAATGCTGACCTGCGACGCGATAATTAGTCTTATCAAGGGTGACAAAGTCCTGTCGACAAAATAGAATAAACGCAAACAATACTGAAGAATCGCGCCATTTTCTTTCTGGCTCCCTCATTTCGTTACCGTCTGCTAACCGTTTTAAAATCAGCTGTTTTATTTAAAAAAAGAAAGTGTGTTTGTCCTCCAAAAAAAGAGATAAACTCACCGACCAATACGCGTGTTTCCTGATAAGTCTGCGGACCAAGGAAGTTTCAACCCGGCAAAACTACGTGTAGCGTCCAGGGACCTCCATGCACTACTCGATTCGAGTGGCTGTTTATATAAATAAACAACCAATATCGGATTAGCTCTAAATTAAGACTGTTTCCGTACGTACGTTTACTTTTACAGACTCTCGTTCCGTTGATGACTGGACGGGAGACCCGTATCCGGATCCACAGATGCGGGGCTTTGCCTGTGGAGCAGCAGCCGATCATGGAGCCTTCGGCAACATCATGGAACCCAAGAGACAACGGACCGCCTACACCCGCCATCAGATACTCGAATTAGAGAAAGAATTTCATTTCAACAGGTATATAGCAATGCTCTTCTAAAGTAAAGATGTAAACCCACCTATTTACAAAGAACATTTCGTCCAACCAGTTAACCTGTGAACGCGATTCGTATTGTTATGAAAGCCCTTAAAGATATCCTAACCACTATTTTAACGGAAAAAAGATAGTAAAAAAAAAAAAGAAAAACATTATCTGATTAGGCAAAACTAAATTCAGCAATCAAGCAGAGAACCATGTGCTATGTTTGTTGTATGAACTGACATACCGCTAATGATCTGATTTTCAGATATCTAACGAGACGACGCAGGATCGAGATCGCGCATAGTCTGTGCCTGACCGAACGCCAGATAAAAATCTGGTTTCAGAATCGGAGGCGAGTGTGCAAAAGGAGACCTCTCCCGCTCTTTATATCGACCATTATAGCGCATAATATTAGAAAGTGATTAATGGAAGCTACATTATAGGTGGATTAGTTGTAAACCTTTACAAATTAGTTCATATTGCCAACAGTCGACGACAAATGCTTCTCACTCACTGCGATGGCATTTCTTTTACAGGATGAAATGGAAAAAGGACAATAAACTGCCAAATACTAAAAATGTTAAGAAGAAGCAAAATCAGCAGAACAGCAGCCAAAGTAACAGTAACAATGGACAAGCGAACTCTCAGTCGCAGGCGAACAATCAACCTCGGCCGGTAAGTTAAAAACTTACACTTTTCAGTAAAAACGTTTCTGCAGGATGCCAGTTTTTCAAGCAGTTGCTCGTGTTTAGCTGTCGGTAGATGATTTAATTGGAGTGCCGTAAGTGAACAGACAATGACACTGAGGAAAATGCGCTGACAATAGAATATGCAAGTTTTTGCCAATACACTCTAGAATCTAAGCAATGTCCTGACTGTTTATCTTTTTTGGACGCATTTCAGGGGCAGACGGTGACGGTGCCTTCTGGACCAGGACACGTTGTTTTGGCAGAAGGGCCTGGACCGGGCTCACAGCACCCGGGTCTACTCAACCCATCAGGGACACCTCCGTTGGCCGCGTTAACGGGTCCTGTTGGCGCTGGAACACCTGGCCTTCCTCCAGGACTATCTGCCGCCGGCCTCTCCGGTGGCTTACCAGGCGGCCTGTCGGGGGGTCTGCCCTCTGGATTGGGTCCAGGGGGACCGGCGCCATACCTCTACCCGCCTTACCCAGGTGCTGCGCCACCACAACATCTACAACCAGGCACCCCACAGGCCACTCGGCCTAGTGAGTACGGACACCCACCCCCCGATCACCTTCAGCCGCTTGCCGCCGAGTCGTGTGCGCGCTGACGAAATGGTCATTGCAGCAAACGACAGCTGGCCGATGTGGGTGGCACAGATGAGTCCTGATAGGACCAGAAGTGACTGGGTCCTCGTTGATTAGGCCTGCAGTATGCGCGGCACAACACTCTGAGACAGAGTAAAAATAAAGAGCGATTGTAAAAAAGGAAATTAAGAAAAATACAGAAAAACTGGAGCAACTAGCTGTAACATGTTGCTTATGGTACGAAGTATTTAGTGCAACAATAACATGAACAACTGTTATGGCACATGAGGAGCCAGTCAGGTCAACCAGAGAGCGGTTCGTCCCAAAAAGGCCCCCGCCCGCCTTACGGCTGAATTCATTAATCTGTAAGCGAAAATTGTTTGTGCTAATGACTTGGCAGTATAATCGCATGTGGCTCAATACAGGAACAGTTTTTAGAGGTATTCTATTTGTGCAAACTTTATTGCCTGTTAACCAGTCATATTAATCATGACTATTTGCCATCAGCACTCCATTTGCCGCCTAGCATCTGTTCTGCTAAATTAAGATGCCGAAGATCCATTTCTCTTTGGACCTTTTTGTTAACGTTTCCTAAGGCAAAGACGTTCAGATGCTGATCGTCGCTATCGTCCGACAACATTGCACACACTACGACATTATGATCGTATCCGTAACCAGCGGAAAATGTTTTACCTCTGCTAAAGTCTACACAGTGTTTTCAGAATGTTATCTGAATTTTACCAAGTTTGTGTAAATCTGTGTTTGCATGCTTTGACGATCACTTTGCACCCTTCTCATGTCCGCTAATCTATCTGGTTGCCGTGGTTCAATATTAACCTGTACAAAGGAAATCAGGCAAAGTAGAGGGCCTAATTATTTACAAGCACTTCTAGGCTTCAGACACCGAACGCCAAGACAGAGAAACGCAAGGCAGCGCCTGTTACCTTCGGCACAGTGAATACAAATATCGTTTTAGAAGTTCGTATCAATAACATATTTAAATCTCAGATGTTCCTGAGCAGTCGTTATGTCGTGTCGCTTATTGCGTTGTGGCTATTGGTTTACGGAAAAGGGTTAAATACATCAGACGGAAATCTTAAATATGTACACTGCTACTCACTTCGATGCGCAACGCCTGTATCGCAAGCCTTGTTTTGGTTCGTTGACCTCCTTTGGGAAGAGTCCGTACCCTTTAGTACAAGTACCCCTACGATAGGAGCATGATAGCTGCCCTTTGAAGCCGTCCTTGCAAGATTTTCTCAGCACCTAATCTGAGATGATACGCGTTTGAAGGTTTAAATCTCAAAAAGTAAATGAGTCCTCCATCGTTTAGTGGAAGGGTTTCTCAGGTTAAGTTCCGTTATTGCTTTGCCTTTGTATCTTTCAGCTCCCCGTGGCACTTTCTCCGATCAACGGTCGTATCACCATTGTAGTGTGGGGCGTTTCAACAGCTGAACATCAACAGCAATTGCGGCAGACATGTCTGATTTCTAAGCCCACGTCGTCTCACCTCAACGAGTACGGACTCACACAGCTGTAAATACTACAACTTAGAGTTATAAGAAGAATAATAAGCTAGGAATCACTGGAAAAATCCATTTTCAACAAAAATGACTGCTCTTCATCATATTTCGTCATGGGAACACAAATAAAGGCAAATATTAAGATCATCATCATCATCAGAATATGACAACAAAAGGGAACCGACGTGTTGCGTCATGATAGCGCCGACTGTGGCAATGCAGACCAGACGCGCACAAGGTTATACGCGATCTACAGCAGTTGAGATCATTGGACAGCAAGGAATACATGTGGAATAATAAAGACTAATGCATAAAGGGAGGAAGTGACATGAAAATGGACACGATCCTTCGAGCCGGCCTATGTTAGGCTCTGAGCGATGAATAGAATTTTACAAATGTGCAAATACTCTCATTAGAGAGAAACAACAAGGAGGTCCTAGAGCTTCTTTTCATAACCTGTTTTCGGAGAAGAACAGTTAAGCAATGCTCTCCACAATTTAATAAGCGGCTAAAAAGCGGTAAGAAGGATAGGAAAATTCATTTTTGCCAAGGGAAAGTACCCCCTAAACCCAAAGAGGCCGCAAATTCTCACCGAACACTGTAGCGGAACTCGAGGGACTGATGAGTAGCCGGCTGGGCTGGCCTTGTTGAAACGATTGGATCGAGGAGTGATGGCTCGCCAATAAGGTAATGACTAAGTGGCTGAAGTGACGATACCCTTGCATTATCCTAATACGAATTTAGGTCTGCGTTAGTGTTTTTGCTCACGGTTCGTACGCGACTAGGAGCATTAAAAAGGAGGTTTGCCGGTGGCGTCTCCTCCGCTGTGACTTGAGCCCGCTGGCCCGTCGAAAGCCAACAGCTATTGTCGACGATTAACCGAGAGTAAAATCTTCAGCCACGACTGAATTATGGCTGTTAGTGAAATTTTTGAGGAGTGAAAATCATCGACGCTGCAAAGCAGACAACACAGAGGTAGACTTGAACAGAGGTCAATTAGTTGCTGAACCCGTACTCAACAACGATCTGTGCCATCAAGCGCGGACGACGCCTCAGTTGCTCTCACTTTACTTTTGTTCTGCGAGCGCCATTCCGAAATGTCCGGAGAGTATAGCAGAACAGAGAAATCAAGAGATTATTATAACAACAATAATACTGATAACAACAATACAGATAGATGGATAGATAGATAGATAGATAGATACATAGATAGATACATAGATAGATAGAGAGATAGATAGATAGATAGATAGATAGATAGACGTGATGCGAGTGAAATACACAGAAACAGGAAGGCATGTTGTATCTGTCCTACCTCGCGCGACCGCCAACGGTAATTGAACTGTAAATCTGTGCTATGTCAGTAGTGTACATAATATTGATAAGTATCATGATAAAGAATCATATAATTCTACTATGACATTAATACTAAGAATATCATTAAAAGGAACGACGATGCTGATAGTGAAGTAATAAGGAAGAAAATAGTAATAAAAGTAAGAAGGAATATTAGAAATAAGATAATAATTGCTGCGCTAAAAGAAGGATGATAAGAATTACGGGAGAAGTAAGATACGATTTACATAGGAGATACGACGACGACGACGACGCCCGCGAAGGAGACAATAGCGGCAACAAGCAACTGCTCTAAGACAAGTTCAGATGATGGGTGCGTACGCGCAAAGCCTGCTTTTTTATAGCACACGGATACATCACACATAAGTACATCTCTCTCGCTATATATCTGAACACAAAGTCGACCCTAGCCGGTCCAACTGAACCGTCTGCAGGTGCTTGGTATGTGCAAGACCGGGAAAAGTGACAAGACTGCGATATGAAAAAAATAATTTATACAATGTAGCAATGAAGCGTGGCCATTGTATGTCGTGCGGCTGTAGCACGCTTATGGTCTCAGTTTGTTGGATTTTACAACAAACTATTTAGAAACATTGGCGCGGATGACGCTGAACTTCGCCGTGGGAATGAGGTTCTACGGTGAAGCTTAGGTAGTAATATCAGCCCTAACTGGACAGGGCAGGTATAGTAGGGATGCGCGTTCTCGACCTTCAATTTCAAGATGATACTAAGGAATTGCGGCGCTAGATTTACCATTTTTTGAAATGACCACTCAGTGACGATCAGGTAGGGATGAGGCTCGATCAGTTTACTACTAAACACTAGCATATATATATGTATATCGCTAATTGAATTTCCTTTATGGAAAACGGATATACAAATAGAGCGCGGGTGGCGATACAACTATTTAATATCGAGATACGTACTAGTCAATAATTCTCAGGAAACTGTATAGTAGAAAGGCACCGGAACGTGGAAATGAATAAACGAAGACTGAAATGAAAGTCGAAAGCTGAAGCCGAGACAGACAAAGAGAAACAAGAGTTCAGCTATAACAAAGTGTCTACTACTGGGTGTGCTGAGGACTCAGCAATCTACACGATTAGTGGGTTCGGTGGAGATGAAATAAAGGAGCTAACTGAAGAAAAAACCTGACGGTTGTTTAAGACGTTGTCTAACCGAATGAGAACGACCGGCTACAATAAGAATCATGAAGGAAAACACATAAACGCAGTGTATAGTGGATTTCTAGGAACGAGACAGAAAAAAATAATGTCGCAGCCACAAATGTCAATAAGATACTCACCAATATACCCGAACACAAAACATTGTAATTACAAACAAAAAAATCTGTAGGAGACATTTAAAAAATCTATAAAATCAATAAGGATTGAAAAGCAAAGATGATACCACTACGCTGATAGTTGGCGGCGGCGGCGGCGGCGGCGGCGGCGGCGGCGGCGACGACGACGACGACGACGACGGCGGCGGCGGCGACGACGACGGCGACGACGACGACGACGACGACGACGACGACGACGACGACGACGATGATGATGATGATGACGTAATCACTTCAGAGCTTCTTTTATTATTATTTCACGGATACCGTTAACACATTATTATGATAACAATAACTAAGTATCATAAAACACAGTAAGAACAAGATGGAGAAACAGGTTCAACAATTTACGACGGCGACGAAACGCTATAATAACAACATTACACATGCAAAGTAGATCCAACAGCCTTTGCTGGTACTGTCAGAAAATATCAAATGCTTTTCAGATATTAAAACGGTATGTCAAACAAAGGTTTCTTACTGTAACTAATAATTCTAGATCAGTACAAAATCGTATTTATATATATCTATGTATATATATATATATATATATATATATATATATATATATAAATATATATATATATATATGATGGAAAGCTTTAACGAATGAAACAAAAGCTGTTGAGTTATTTAGATGCTCTGAATAGATCTGTAGTCACCTTTTGGGGATGGGTGCATTTATAAGTCGCATTGGATTGCGGCGGCTCGGTGATATGGCTCCTAGGAAACATAAGCTCATGGATACATTTACACAGGCCGGCCATTGATGGCGTTGGATTTGCCCCACACATTTCAGTATCCTTACAACATTATGTGTATATATTTAATCAGTATTCTTATATTACGTGTATTATATACACTTATATTACTTGTAGATATTAGTTTCAAGTGTTTAGCTAAGCAGTGTCTGTAACGTTGTAATCTAATTAAACGAACGGAGGTGTTTTAGGGAAAAAAAAACAGCACATTTTGTTTTTGGTCTTTTGTAGCGTCCGAAGTTGCTTTATCCATGCGAATCCGGTAAACACAAGTTCGTAGCTTGGTTCTTTTAGTTTAGAGAATGGAGGCGATTTTAATATAGCCCAATATGATGAAAACTTTGATTTGATTCAAGTTCATCATATCTCGGGCTTCGTAAGATAAGCACGATAGTCTTCTTTGTGAAAACGTAAACGGAGGGCATGCAGAACGTATCAGAGATCAATCTGCCCAGTTCTGCGCGCCCGACAAAGGGTTCATTTATTTACTGGCATGGAAAATATACACTTTTTTTTTCGTTACATTTCCATCGGTTTGCTCTTGCAGTCTCGTACTTCTCTTGTGTTCAGGCACGAGCCTGCCCCATATACACACGTTCCCCACAATAGCGCAAGAACTTTTGACAAGCAGAACTGATCAACCACTATTTAGGAAGCGTTTTCTGATGCTTGATACATCTAAACACTTTCAGTACGTATCAACGATATTACGTGAATACATATCACCCCTGACCGCTAGTCAATTGTATCTCCCTCCGTGTCTACTCGATATCAGATATATCAAGTATATTATTGTGTAAAATTGTTACGCGGTGAATTTTCATTCAGCCACTAACCCCCCAACAGCATAACTACGAGCATCTATATATATATGAGCGCTTTCCTCGGCCTTCTAACAGCAGTATTTACGAAAATCTCTATATTCCACCTATATTGTGTTTCATCTGTGTAGCTAGGAGAGGTAGGTGTTATTTATTGCAGATACTCAGTTATGTAGCGTAGTTAGTAGTAGCAGCAGCAGCAGCAGTAGACGGTTCATCATAATATAGAAACACAAATTACCCCGTCGGTCGAGGTTTGGGTATACGGCAGCAACATAGAGATGAACAGAAAAAACGTGCCGGTGTTTTTGCTACATCACCACAAACAACAGAACGCAAGCTATAATAATGATTCCAATCATCGTCGTCATCATCATCATCATCACCATGAAAGTGAGGATCAGCTGTAAGCCAGTTGTTCTGGAAGCCTATAATATCAGAAATACACAATGTTTGTGTGGTAACGCCACGATGCATTTTCTGTGTGTTTAATGTCGTCATCAAGTGCACTGTCCTGCAACTACGCTCTAATGTTTCTCGAGCTTCGGAAACCTGTCCTCAGCTAGACGGCTAACGTATTTCGTCTTCACTAATTTGGTTCCTTATGCGTTTATCATCTGACTAACGTTCAGTGAGGCTGTCTCGATGTACGCCGGGTGAATGCTTCATAAAACTATCACTTATCAACGAGAATTAAGAGATTCGCGAAGCGCGATGGTGTGGGGTCAATGTCTGTACTGTTCATAGCCGTCTGTAGACCATATAATGGTGACAGTTATTATAATATGGCAAATGCCGAACAGCAGTGGTGTAACTTGGTTCGACAAATCGTTGAAGAGCGCACTGAACAAAGCGTACGCTAACACCCCCTACAGCGATTTTACCAATAATAGAAACAACTCCTGTTTTGCTAGCCCGATAAACGCTGGCGGCAGCGAGGTGATCTGAGAAAAAGGGGACATCAATGCAACGATGGCAAAGGTATCGGCAACAACAATTCCTTCGCTTCCGATGTAAAAAACCCAAGGGTGGTAGTCAATGAGCAGATACTGATGATGATGGGATTAGTAACAAACATGGTGAGATTATCGATCATAGTGGTTATCATACGACGATGATAATAACGACACTAGAAAAAAACAAACAGACAGACATACGCGTCGAAGGCAAACGCAAATACTCCTTTCAAGGGAACAGTGACGAGTTCAATCTACATACAGAGCGCCTACATACTCAACGAAGCTGAAATGATTGAGATAAAGATGGTAATGCCAATAACAATAATAGAATAATAATAAGTGAGGATGAGGCGAGAACGAAATGTGCGTGTGGGTGTCTGTGTGCGTGTGCGTGTGCGTGTGCGTGTGCGTGTGCGTGTGGGCGCGTGCCTGCCAGAGCGAGCGAGAGAGAGAGAGAGAGAGATAACAGCAGGGGCAGCAGCAGCAGCAGCAGAAGGTGGTGATGATGATGATGGCCCTCGAAAGAGGAGCGCAGCAAGCTAGAAGATAAAACAAATGATGATGATGGTAATGTCGGTGAGCGGGCAAACGGTCGAATATGGCATGGACAGTACGAGCAGGTGGAGTGCGATATGACACTTTAGGGGGTCTATGGCAGGAGACGAGGGCGAGGAACAGATGAAGATGAGGAAAGGTGACGAAAACGAAGCAGGAAGCAAAGAAAAAGATCATCACAATAAATGAGCTCACCCATGATGGCGTGGTGTGGACAAAACTATAGGTTCTGTTGTCTTTTAGATAAAGAAGACCTGTTACGACAAAAACCAGCGAATAAACGACTTAATCACATAATAGGCTAGGCTGAACTAGGTCCTCTGAGACAGCTTTGCTAACGATTGCTCTGACATTGGGTTACGAAAAAACTAGGCCGAAAAACGATAAGCATAATTACAGAGTTCAGCTTATTTGGCAGACTCTTGTGGAGATTATTTCGGTGGTTTACGCCACCCCAGAATAGTGCGAATCAATTAGCCAGAACAATGTAAATCAAGTATGCCAAAACCATAGAAGGGAGGTTGTAATTTAGTTATGTAGGCTCTTAGGTTACGAGGTTCGAATCTAGTAATAGACACATTTGGGTCGTGTCTGAAGTTAGCCGTCTCACGCAACATTAATGCAGCCCCCAACGCAATACTTAAATCATGTCCTTTTTTTTTTCTTTATTTGCTCTTTGAAGCAATGGAGCTTATGATTTTCGCTATTTACAGAAATATAATAGGTGACAACAATATCGATATCTAGTTTCGAGACAGATCATGATAATTTTTTGAATTGTAGGAACTGTATAATAGCCAGTCGCTCGGCCGTCATGGAATTTTCAGTCTTTCTATTATCTCTTTGTGCTAACAGTATGTATTTCCTTATCTGTCGTCTAACTCATCGCCTACCCTATTCCTGTTGAGCGAAAGAACGTGCATTTTTTAAAATTAATTATTATTTTTCTATTTAATACCCGATGTGTTTTGAACTTGTTGATTTTGCGGCAAGTTCACTTACAACTATTCCTGTATCTACTCCTGGGGCAGGAACTCCGCTGGTTACCATATTAATACCCAACTGATCCATTAATAACCATTAGTCACAGGGCTCGTAGTTAGTTTAATCCCAGTTAAGCCTTCCCAATTGGAACAACACTTTGGATTGTCTCAATCGGGAGATCAGTATAGAAGTTTAGCCCGATGACCAATTAGAACTCAAGATATACTCGCTGTATCCCGTTAAAGAAATAGACAAGTTTTTATCAATTCCTTTGCAAGATAACTAAGCAAAATCAAAAGTATTATAACTGTTATTGTCCCTTTTTGGGACTGGAATACAAAGTTGGGGTTGTAAAATCGCTGATTTTAAAACATGTATGATTTAGTGGCACCGATTCTATAAGTTGTACAGTAACAAAGTTTCAATTCATCGAATTAAAACATTGTTTCCATCGCCGCATTGTCTTGGCAGTGCCAGTTCTCTACTGGGATTCGAGTATCATTTGTGTGGTGTTCGCGAATCGTATAGGTGACAGCCCGTCCTCGTGCAAAAAGGATGGCATAGCCGATGTGTTCGATCCTAACAGATCCGTTAGTGTTTACATCACTTGGACGGCTCTTTGGGAGCTGCTTGCGCATTCTCGATGAGGCTCCTTGAACGAGAGACTCCGTTGATCCCCGGGGCCTGTGAAACTTGCTAAAGGCTAGGATTGAATAGCATTTGTCTTCGTCTTGCGTCCGGACACGAGTGGTCCATGTTGCCCAATGGACACCTTGGCATAGAACGTTCGGTAAATTCCGACCCTACTAATACATCTTTCTGAATGTAATAAAATGTGAACGAAGTGAAATTTACCCATTAGCAATATGTGCCCAGCACCACATATAGTACGGAAGAAGCGCAAAACATCTTATTTTGTTGTGTCTTGGAGGAGTTACTGGGTAACCTGAGAGACTCTGAGAACACAGATTTCGATGTGGGGCTCAAGGGAAAATCAGGTTTGAGTGTCTCGAATAAGAGCCTTCGTCAACGGTCTAAAACTGACTCAGTTCTATACTATTCAGAAACAG